CCTGATGCCTCTACTCAGGTCTGCCCTGGCCGCCCTATACGCAGCCCTGTCCCCTGACTTGAAGGCAGTGTTGCGGCTTTTTAGGAGGGATTGCACTTCGCTATTCATCCAGGGTTTTTGATTTGGAAACACCCTGACCCTTTTGTTGACGGTGACATTGTCAACACAGTTCCTGATGTACGAGAATACAGTGTCCGTGTACTCCTGGAGGTTGTGGCTGGAGAATAAATCCCATACAGTTGTTGAGAAGCAGTCCTGCAGTTGAGAAAGGGCTCCTTCAGGCCAGGTTTTTATTGTCTTTGTCTGGGGCTTTGTTTTTCTCAGCAGGGGGGTGTAGGTGGGGGTGAGGGATATGCAGAGGTGGTCAGATCCAGCCAGGTGGGGGAGGGGTGTCGCTCTGAAAGCATGCCTGATGTTTGAATAGACATGGTCCAAAGTGTGTTCTCCTCTCGTAGCAAAGTCTACGAACTGGACAAATTTAGGAAGCACAGTCTTTAGGCACGCTTTATTAAAGTCGCCGGCGACAATAAAAACCCCATCGGGGTGGGCAAGCAACGATACAGAAAAGTTCAGTCACTATCTCTACAGCAACCACTTCACCGTGGTAACGGATAGTAATCCACTGACTTACATTCTGACTTCAGCAAAACTTGGCGCAACTAGCTATAGGTGGCTAGCAGCACTGTCCACATTCTCTTTCAAACTCCTCTAAGTCCAGGGAAGCAGAATGGAGATGCGGATGGATTATCACGCAGACCACATGGAGGGCTAGCGGATGAGCTGAAATCACAAAAAGAGATTGAACGCATACAACAGTTCACTCAAGATCACCTTTGTGATCCAGACAACGTCAATGGAGTCAATCAGTCTGTTGTGAAAGCAATCTGTGAGAGGCAGTTCACCTACAGCGTCAGTCCTGACGATGAAAGAGGGGCAGTTGCAGATTGTGTTGCCTTGGTGGAGGTTCTTGCAATGTCTCCTAACGCTGTACCTGATAGCTATGGGCAAGAGGAACAGTTTGGAGGTCTGCAAACCATTCCCCATCTAACTGAGGCAGAGCTGACAAATGCGCAAAGTGCCGATCAGTGTATAAAGCATGTTATTTCCCAGATCGAACATAGAGACACACCACCTCCAACCATGCGTACACAGCTCCCCGAATTTCCACTCCTCCTCCGAGAGCTTAACTGTCTCGAGCTCCGCAACAATGTCTTGTACAGGCGACGCCAAGAGGGGTCCCAGACAACCTACCAGCTTGTACTTCCAGCTGAGCTTCGCAGCATAGTCCTCACCAGCCTGCATGACCATATCGGTCACACTGGACCTTGTAAGGACCAGATTTTATTGGCCAAGGATGGCTCTGGACGTGGAAAGGAAAGTGAAGACATGTGGCAGGTGCGTGTGGAGGAAGGCACAACCTGAAAGAGCGCCCCCCTTGGTCAACATTACCACAACACGACCTCTTGAACTCTTGTGCATGGACTTCTCCCTGGAAGCTGAAAAAAGTGTAACCAAGGATATATTGGTGATCACAGATCACTTCACTAAATTTGCCGTTGCTATCCCAATACCTAATAAAAGGCCCGCAGAGTGGCAAAGTGTCTGTGGGAAAACTTTATGTTACACTATGGCATCCCAGAAAAGTTGCATAGTGACCAGGGTCCAGATTTCGAGTCCCGCACAATCAAGGAACTCTGTCAGGTGGCTGGTATCCACAAGATGAGGACAACCCAATACCATCCTAGGGGCAACCCGGTGGAACGATTTAATCGTACCTTGCTGGACATGTTGGGCACTCTACGTGATCAAAATAAGTCCTGTTGGCATGACCATGTAAGACCCCTTGCCCACGCTTATAACTGCACCAGGAATGAGGTGACTGGTTTCACCCCATACGAACTGATGTTCGGACGCCAACATCAGTTACCAGTTGACCTTGCGTTCAGGAGGAACAGCACTCGTCTCACTCTGAATATGTGCAAAAACTCAAGTCACGTCTCAAAGAAAGCTACAGGCTAGCTACGGACATGGCTGCAAAGATAGCTCACAAGAACAAAATGAGGTTTGTAACTGCCTCAGACTTGGAGCTGGAGATCAGGTATTGGTCAGGAATGTCCGCATCTGGGGGAAACATACGATTTCAGACAAATGGGAACACACTGTGCATGTAGTGGTGGGTAGAGCAGGCAACCTCCCAGTACATACAGTTAAGCCTGAAAGCAAAGATGGTCCCCTAAGGACACTACACTGGGATTTGTTGCTATCATGTGGCTACCTATCTGTGGAGGAAACCAGTGAGCATGTACAGAAGCCAGTGTCAGCAGGCCAAGAACCCATGCAAGTCCCGTGCTAGAGGAAGAGAACTCCTCAGATGAAGAAGATGATCTGCTCATCCCAGTTTGGTTGAGCACCCCTGTCCCCATGGTGAGTGAGAGTCCTCTAAATGTCCCTGATATTGACAACCCACCTGATTTTGACAGCCAATCTCATTTTGGCAACATACCTGATATGCCAGCCAGTACTACAGATAATACTGAGTACTTACCCACCGATGGAGTCACATCAATCGAACAAGTGGATGAAACAGCCTCGACTGAAAATGACTCACCCGTTGATGATCCAGACGTCTAAGAAAAGCAACTTCCAGTTGAGGAGGCTGGCACCAGAGGTGCAAATCCTGAGGAAAGAATGAAGGAAAGGGTCCCAATGGATACAGGGGAAACCACAGATACAAATGATTCTGTCAAGAGATCTGAGAGAAACCGTCGTCCGCCACGACAGCTTGATTATACAGAGTTAGGCAATCCCCTGATCACAGCAGCAAAAGCATTCTTGCAAGGACTGTCTTTAGCTTGGGCAGAGGTCATCAGTGATGGTGAAGAGCCTGTTCCCACCCCCTTCCTTGACCCCCTGAATAATCATCATTTAACTGTTTACCATGCACAGGGATGTGCATGAGTTCAGGAGGGGAGGGTGTAGCCCAGATGAAAAAAACACATTTACACCAATGATAAAGGAAGAGGAGGTGTTATTTCCTTTACCTTAACTGTTCACATCAACAAAGCATCATAAGTCCTATGACAATTAAATGCACCTCTCAGTTCACCCCACGTGGGGGTACCTAGCATTCGGCGACCAATCAGAGCCTATGCAGGCCGCATTCACCTTGTCAGCCAGGAAGTGAGGTGAAGGTGCGTGGTCCTCCCCGGTTTTTCTCATCTCAGGAACAGGAGTGGAGGCATCTGCTACTTAAACTGAGAAACGCAGGGACGAAAGAGAGCAATAACCCAGAATTGAGAGGAAGGAAAGCAAGAATACTTACCTGCTGGAAGTCCACAGTTGAGTGGCTGGATGAAGGAGAGAAGCAACGTTGGTAAGACAAGTGTTATTCCTTTTCATACGCACATGGCGGAAAAAGTATGGCAGCAAATGGAGAATGAGAAGGGCAAAAGCAGATCGTTGAATGAAACGGATGAACCAGAATTGGTTTGTAAAAATGCTGCAACTTCAGTGGTGTGGAACTGGTTTAGCTTTTGTCCGTCAGATACACAACAAAGCACTATTTTTGGTAGAGCATGTTAGCGGGCCGTCGTTATTACCGTGTTTTTTGGAAAATACGGCACACTTAAAATCAATCCTTTGATTTTTCTGAAAATCGACAGTGCCCCTTATAATCCCGTGTGCCTTATGTATGAATTCTGGTTGTGTTTACTGACCTCGAAATGATTTTATGTGGTATACGGCGCTCGAAAATCTGTCAAATGTTTTAGTACGACTTTGCTAAGCTACGCCGCTTGATGGATTGTCGGAGCATTACTGCTATCGTAGGCAGGAGCCTCGCGGAGTGAAACGTACTGTGCTTCAACATAATATTACCGTATTGTGTGTATAACCGCTTTTAAGCAAAAAACATAAACCAACAGAACGGGCAGAGAAAAAAAATGCATATATCAATCACCTGGATCACCTGCTAAGAAAGAAAAAAGAAAACAAGCAGAAGAGAACAAGAGTAATAGAATAAACAACATCACAATGATATATGGGAATATGACAGTAAATACTAAAT